GAGAATGAAAAAATGATGTTCCCAACCCGATGACGGTACGCGGTAGGGAGTAGAGTTTGTTGGGAATGTGATGTCGCTGGTGATTTTTCCTGCTCGCCCGACGCCCGGCTCGGCAAGACCTACGAGTCGATCTACGACATGTCAGTGCATGCAGATTTTGACTTGCGGTGTTGCGGCTGTGCAAAAACCTACGAAAAAGCCACTGTTGAAAACCCTGCACCCTGGATCATGTGGATGTGGGCCAGCTATGCATCATGGCCATATCATATGGGGGGGGGGGGGGGGGAGCGTTGATCTACACTACAAAGTACAATACACTACAGCCGCATATCAAGATGCGCACTGTTTAGATCTACATCATGACTACTATTAGGGGCCGTCCACAAATATTGATGTTTTTTTAGAGAAGATATTCGTTCGTTTGGGGGGGGGGGGGAGGGGGTTTGGGCCCTGTTCGTCTCGTCTTTCAGAAAAAATATCGAACTCTATCTATGGACGGGCCGGGCACTGTTCGAACAAATACTTCGAAGTAGTTTATGACCTACACAAATTGAAAGTCAGCCTCATGAGCATAGCCATAGCCAGGTTGTTCGACCGTGGCAACATAAACCTACGTGTACATGTAGGTGTATGGTGAAATTAAAGTTGCAGCTGGTCACGTTTCATGAGGAAATTGAACTTCATTAAAAAATATCGATCCTTTGCATATTACACATGTGTATGTTCGTTTTGAGGGGGGAGGGAGGGGGTCTGGGGAGAAATGAACAAATATCGTCTTGAAAAAAATATCGATATTTACGGACGGCCCCTTATTATATTATTATTATTGAATATTGTTAGATTGACAGCATGAAACAAGGTGGCGTGGAGCGACATCCAGCCTTCCAGGAGCGATCAAAGCAAAAAAGATCTACACGACGGACGTAAGGAGTAGTCTCCAAACTCCCTACTGGGCCCTAGCATAATGAGGGTCAGAACCGGGTTCAACACCCATAATTATAGTTCAAATGGTCCGCAGAGACTGGGGCTCTGCCAACCGTGGAAGGTTGTAGTAAGGTCACTGTTTTCGAACCCAGTGTCCTCCACCTTGTTTCATGCTGTCAATCTAACAATATGCGTGAACTATAGCAAGGTTTATCTAATACTAGTTTTGAACTACAGTGCTGGCAACTGAAATCCGACCCCCTTGGCGGCGCGCCGTGCCGCCCAGGGGGTCGGATTTCAGTTGCCAGCACTGTAGTATTGGGTTACAATATCATGACTGTATCTATCAGTATCACTGTATCAAGCATTGTCCAACATCATGCATTGTTCAGCTCTGAATCTGATACATAGCGCTAGCCCTCTGCAACAGACTGCATGTTTATAATGCGCATTATGCGGACGCATGTATGCAGTCAAGCATGGTCACACGTGCACGTGCTGTTGAAATAAAGATTACCCGTAGGCATTGGCGGATAATGCTCGAAAAGCCGCAGTGAAATTGGCAGAACCATACAAACCTTATGGCGGGCAATTCCTCGAATTCTGCTCCATTTCTTTATCCACATACCAAACATGCATGAAACTTATCAGAAAAAGTACCGAATTCTGCCAATTTTTCTGCCGGCATTATCCGCATAATGCCTACTTACCGGTATTCAATCTTGACATGTACATTGTACTATATGTATCTACTAGAAAGAGTATAACCCTAGGGGGGTTATAATACTCTTGCTAGTACTAGGACTTAGGAAACCATGGACCATGGCAGACAGTAGTGCAATGTAGAGATCTATAATTATGATTGTACATGTAACAGTAAAATGACACTATTGTCGACATTTCGAGATTTCTCTTCACATACAGTCGACTCCTAGATCCTGAAGTAACGAACATGTCTTAGGGGTCCGCCCGTACAACACAGCAAACAACAATGGAGTTGCATAGCCAGTGGTTGGCAATGGCGCCTGCGAAGTGACGACCCCGTTGGGGTGTGTCTGCTTTGCGCAGACTCCCACTGTACCACCATGATTGTCATGGCTACGCACAAAGACCATGTGCTTTCCAACTCTCTTATGGCCGTTGGAAAGGGTAACGTATGTCAATGACCAGCCGGCCCTCCATGGAAGTAAAACAAACACTGTTAGGGGCTATCCGGCATTATCGATAATTTTCACGAAACGAAAAAAGTTTAGTTAGGACCCTCACTGGACCTCCAAGGACAGGAGTCGCCAATCAAAGGAATAAGGTGAACGGTTTCTTTTTAAACAATGCTACTGAAATCAAGGTTACACGGCAAAGCATGCGTCATACAGGATTGCCATAGCCTCGGCGTCAACTTGGAATATTTGCGGCGATTTTGCATCATAAAATCTTTCAGAAGTCGTTGAAATATCATTCTAGAAAATCAAAAAAAAACCTTGGTAAACTATATGAAACCTGTCGACAATAGGAATATAAACAATCTCGCACTAGAAAGCGAAGCAGCAGCGTAGACTGGAGCCGCCATAACTGTCACATGTTACTATGGCGATTTCTTAAATCACTGCCATCAACGTCCAGGAAATTCTCAATGGAAATCTCGAGATGTAGTGATAGTACAGAGGTGCAACAAGAGTTGCACAAATACCGCGACAAATTCACGACAGCCGGGAGGAGAAGGAGAAGAAATGGCCTTTGTAGACGGTAATCCATGGTCTACTTCATACGGGGAGAAAGGAATGCTTGCGGACGGGAAATGGCATAGCCGGTGAACAATAGAAATAGACTCTGCAGTAAATCATTGCAGGGATAGGATAGGATTTCGAGGTGGATCAAGATATTCATAGTATAGGTCTTGTGAAGGGCTGTACTAGCAGCACTAAATGCAACCCATCCGTACTATTGTGGACGCAAAAATCAAGTCGATTGACCGCGGCCGGCGCCCGCAGTGCGTACTGAACGTTGCACGCAGTGCACTTGTTGATCGTATGCGTACTCACGGCTGCATGGCCAGTGCCCTGGGCCGCTTGAGCTCCAACCGGATTTCCGTGTCCACAGCAGTACCTGCTCATCCATTGCTAGCAGGATGACTCTAAGCATACATGATGACCGCTGCTAGTGGCTGTGCCAGTCGATTGTTCCATCACGAGCATGGCGGGTGTTGAGGGCGCCGCCCTCGCTGGGGGCGCTCGTCCGCCGCCAGCGCCAACACTGCCGGCGGACATGGAGTCCTCCGCTGGCCTCGATGGCCAACCACCTGCCACGCCAGCACTGGAATGTGCCGGCATCGGCGGCTGCGAATCTTGTCGCTTGCCAACAACCCGGTCACTCGTGATGGAGACGGCGCCGACTGAAGACTGACTGTACCCGCCGGCAAGCAGTGAGGATGCGCTGGAAATCTCGTCGACAATGTCCGAGCCATGACCACCACCGCTGGTGGTCAGAGCTGACGTGCCGCCGAGCTGTGCACCACTAGTACCCTGCTGGCTGCTGATGACCGGCCGCGCTTGATTCTGCAGCGTGGTGCTGTTCGACGGGGCCGCGTGAATACTGGCCGCCGGCAAGAAGAGCGAGTCGGAGCGCTCCTCCGGGTACTCGCCCACGTCCACGTTCAGCGTGGGCATGGTATCGGCGTCGGGCCCACACGCAGAGTACGTCTGGCTGTCGATGCAATGTGGCCCGCCGCCGCCGCCACCAGGATTTCCCGGGGCCAGTGGTAGCGCCACGGCCTGTGGTTGCACAAACACCTCGTTCTCCTGCACGGCCGGTAGGGGATCACCGGTGGCGCGGCTCTTGCGGATGAAGTACAGCGTCTTCTTGATGCGCAGGGCGGTGCACCTGGCCTCCGGGTTCATGCGCCAGCAGTCGGCCATGATGCGCACTAGCGGTACTGTGCGTCGGTCGGCCTTGATGTGGTGCGGCAACGGCGGCCGGTACTTCTCGTCCACGATCAGCGTGCGGACCTCGTGGAAGTCTGGATCGTTGGGCAGCTTGTCGAAGTACGGAATGCTGTACTCGAAGGCAAAGTCGTTGATCTTGCAGCGCCGCACGGTCTCCCACAGCACTAGACCTAGGCTGTACATATCGGCGCAACGGAACGCGTGGAACTTGAACACGTTCATCTTCTCGGTGAGCATCTCCGGACTCATGTAGCGCTTGGTGCCCACCTTGTGCGTGGGCACGTCCGGCGGCTCGCTCGACTCCGGGTCGTGCATGACGGCGAGGCCCAGGTCGGCGATGCAGCAAGTGCGGTCATTCTTCACCAGAATGTTCTTGGCCTTGAGGTCACGGTGCGCGATGCTGTACTTGCCCGAGGTGCCGCGGATCTCGGCGTGCAGGTGGTTCAGACCGCTGGCCATCGAGTAGACAAAGTTCAGAGTTGTATCAACGTCCAGGTCGTTGTGAAGCAGGTAGTCGTAGAGCGAGCCGAGCGGATGGAACTGCGTGATCAGCCACAGCTCGGTGCGATCGTCCTTGGAGAGCATGTCGGAGCCGTAGTAGGACAGGATGTTCTCGTGGTTCAGCATGCGCGAGTTGTAGATCTGCGACTCCTGCACCCAGGAGTGCTCGTCGCGAGCGTAGAACTTCTTGACCGCCACGTCCTCGCCCTGCCAGACGCCCGAGTGCACCTCGCCGTAGCGTCCCTTGCCAATGCACTCGCGCAGCTCGATCTGCAGCGCCAGGGTGCGGTGCCCGAAGTAGGCCGTGCAGCTGTGCCCGCTGCCCGACGTCCACGACGAGCCGCCGGACACGGACACGGACTCGGCGCCGCCCTGCTGCTGCGGCCGCGGCAGAAAACCCTTGGGCTGCGCCACCTGACGCGACACCACGTACTCGGACATGTCGGACATCTCAGAGTCATTTCCACTGTCACCACCACTATACCCATGCGCGTTACCCGCTGTGCTTGCGCCGCCGCGTTTTCCGTTCGCGCCGGCCAGTGCCAACGGGAGGCACTTGCCCGTACGCTTGAAGCGCACCAGCAGATAGACGGCGATGCAGGCCAGGCAGAGGAACAGCAGCACGCACAGCGGTATGATGATGTCCTGGTTGTTGTGGTGCACCTCGACACGCGTCGTCACCGTGGATACCGGCGGTGGTGACGTCGTAGCACGACGAACAGGCTCCGGTATGCTCACGTTCCGGTTGCAGTAGGGCCCGTCGCTCAGCCCACAGCAGAACGATGTGATGTCCTTCAGTGTAGCGCAGTGCAACGTGCTAATCCCGTCAAAGCAGTTGTGCCGCAACGGCGCCGTGCCGTCCGGCCTCAGTTGGCGAAACGCCACGCAGCCACCTTCCCAGTGGTCTAGGTCTGGGTGTCGAAACTCCGCGTCAACGGTGCAGGTGAAATTGTTACGCACACATTCATCATTGGCATCACAATAGCATGCCAAAGAATGAACGCGAGTATCAAACGCACGACTAGTGGACGTCGTTGCCAGCAACACAAGCAGTACAATGCTAGGTAACATCGCGCCCCTCCACCTGCAGCTGCAGTCATCATGATGATCATGATGATGCGGGCCAGAGGAAGTCGAAAGGACACGCAGCGCACGGGTCTGATTCCCACCGCCACTGGCGCTGCTGCCGCCTCCTGTCCGTCTCCCCGCCATTTCTGCTCGTCAGCTGCGCGGCTGGAGTGCGTGAACTGCTCGCACACGCTATGACTGAGTATGAGCCAGCTTGGACAAACACGTGGAGCAAAATACGCAACAAAACACGAGCTTGGGCTGGTTTTTGCAGCTATCTTGCGAGAGCAAGAATGAATCTCGCTGCTACATACTAGTAGGAGGCACGGAGAAAATATCGAGCTTCTCCAGGACCAAGGCCGGTCAAGAAACAACCAAAATGATCGCAGCCGACTGACGGTGACAGTGTCAAGCTCTCGGGAGTAATACTGCTGCTAGCGTTCGTGCTCCGCTCCAGTTCTTGCCACTTGTACTCGTACAGTAAGTATCAGTTTAGTTGCAGTGCTAATGTCGGTGCTGGCAGGCTTGGAGGTACGAACATGCACTGCACGCAGAAGTCACAAATCTGTGCACACAATCGATCGGGCGCAGCGTCTGGCCATCACTCAGGCATCACCACTAGTTGCACTGGCAGCGCACAGGGGAAATCTGGTCGACAATCGGCACTATTCTGTGCAAGATGGTCACTCCAGTGCCCTCTTCGGTTCCAGCATGCCATCTACAAGCAGCTCTATGGCTTTAGCCTGAATTCAGCACACTGGGACTGCTAGACTCAACCAAAGAGGCTTTTCTAGTATAAAGCAGTCTTGCATCCATGATCCAGCGGACAATGAATTATTTTATTGCTGATTACCAGGGCGTCAAGCAAGGACTCCCTGCTGATCGATGACAGCTCACTCTCAGGCAAGGAGGACGTGTCTACCACTTACCAGGTGTCTTATCTGTGCGTAAGGTCGGCGCTAGCGCTGTGAGTGTAGACCGTAGCATCAGAGTCATACTGTCACAGCCGGCGCTAGCGCTAGGCATCAAAATCATGAAACCAGTTTGGCATACCTCTGCGTGGAGATCGGAGACTCTACATCATGTAGACAGCTAGCGCTACCACAGACAGTCAGTCCACAGGACTGAAGAGTAGCATTGTTGTGTGTACTACTACAGTACTAGATAAACCTAAGTCCTTGTTGTTATTGTTGTTGTTCAAACATGACGATTGTATGTTGACAACATGTAACAAGGTGGATCATGGAGGACACCGTGTTCGGAAACCGTGACCTTCTACCACCATCCACCACGGTTGCAGGTTGGTAGCAGGGAGTCGACTCCCTGGTTGGTAGAGCCCCGCGGTCTGTTGAGACCATCTGAACCGCATGGATATGGATGGGTCTTACCCTTTTAGGCCCGGTTCTGATCAGGGAGTAGCACATACTGTACAACTCCCTGGTTCTGACCCTCTTTATTCTAGCCAATCTACACTGAGTAGGGGAGTTTCCACTGTGACTTTCCAGGAGCGATCACAGAACACACGACTGACGTCAGGAGAAGTCTAAAACTCCCCAAGACTGGCAAGAGAGTCAGAACCTGGCCTGGCTGGTTATGTGCTCCTGTCTGTACTGTAGCATGATGCATGCTAACCATGAATGGCATGATCCAAAGAAGAGAAAAAATTTAATATATTTTTTTAAACAAGATAAAAATACAGCCGGGGGGGGTGAAAAATCTACAACCAACTAACCGGTATAACCAGGTAGATCTACCACCAAGAGTTCATACGTTCATAACCCCCAAAGCGGGTTATAATACTCTTGCAGCCACTGTACCAGTGTTTAGGGTGAGAAGCAGAGAGTACTCGGTACTGTAGTCTGAGTATAGTAGGGAGGGAGGGGAGAGACCGTGTGCGCCGGTGCCCTTCAAGGGGGTCCCGGGGAATGTTTCATAAAATGAGGCAAAATCCTGCCTTTTTGAGCGAAAAAAGGGGGTTCCGGGCACCCAGGAACCCATGCGGGGCACGCGCCTGGGGAGAGACCGTGTGCGAGTATTCTAGAGTGTAAGAGAGGGTTTCACTGCCTCCGGACATCTAGAGTGAGGGTTTCATTCAAGAGACGGTCTACACTGTGTGAGCACAGTACATTGCTTGGATGGAAACTTCCGAAAGGCATCCAGCTGCCCAGCACCTTGCTTTGAACGTGGACTCAAAACTGCGAGTAGCCACGTAACCGTTCATGCCTTGCCCAATAAAGAGAAAAAATACCATGCCGCTTTATAGTACCTTTGCTACATGCAGGCAGCTCGCCCCTGTGGATGCATGCATGTACACTACACTACAGTAACGGTTGCAGGATCTGCAAAGTGTTATGCCCATGCGCGCATGCATACATACATGTACAACCGTCGATTTGCACGTCGCGTGAACTTATCAACCCATATACATGTACGGCAGCCACTGGGAAACACAAGCACCGAAACCATTGCCATTGGGATGTAAATTAAATTTGAAAGCTAAAAAAATGATGACCTCTCAAGCAAGAACGAGCCCAGGATCTCTGAAGGGCTAAACAAAATATAAGCAATTGACAGCAATGCCGGGCTACAATCAAACTATTCCACGATCAAGAAGAGAGGAAAAGGAGAACTACTATCAAGACGAAGTAGTGGCGATAATTTGACAAGGATCGAGTTATTTTGCTCCCACACACTGGAACTCGCTCTCGTCAAGAAGTCAGGTTGACGAGAAAAGCGTGAGCTCCAGCACTAGTGTGGGAGCAAACACTTTTCTTATAACTACTGTCAAGGAAATTAGATGGTGAGTCAGATTGTTGCTGATTCTAGTCTATACCAACTACACGGTTAGCCCGTGAGTGGTTCAAGAGGCATAGTTTGCGCCAGCACAAAATGAAAAACAAAGAGACGCGCGGGGAAGAAAGATAACGCGAAAATTTGCCGCAGAGCAAGGAACGGGCGGTAAAGAAGAACCAGGCACCATCCGATTCCCGTTGAAAAGGATGGGAACGCAAAGGAGATGGATCAAAGTGTCCATGCCGGATCTGGAATAAGCTATGGAGTTGGATAAAAAAAGTTGCCCGCCTCACACTGGGGCTCAGGGCCGGGGGTCTGGGGAGGAAGCCAGCTTTACCTATTCAATACTAGTGATATCAAGAACTAAGGGGAGCATCGTGGAGGGATCAGCGCCGTCGCCATAGCAACACGGCCGGGGAAGGGAACAGAGATCATCCAGGGCGAAGTGCACAGCACATCGCCATGCGGAGTGACGGCTCAGGGCAATCTGGACAAGACCGTGGTGCCGCATGGTTACAGTATGCTGCAGGTGGTGAGTATACCACATGAGAGAAACCCTAGCTGCAGCTCAAGTTTGGCATTTAAAAGTGGTCTTTGTAAAAAGAAAAGAGAGAAACCTACCGGTAGTGCACAAACACAAACTGAGGGGTCAGGGCAGGCTGCATACAAAACCACGGCATGGTTGTCCTGGGCAGCTGCACAGGTTGCGAAAGAAACTCACCAACCTGCAGTGCAGACACAACAAGCTTGCAACCGGCGACGATGTTGACATTGCAATCAGATCATCGCATCCGTGGTTGTCATCATTTCCCCGTGCTTTCCCAGTCGAACACAGGACGTGGCCCACACCCACAACCGGGGAAACTGCATCGACCAGTACACTATCCAGCTGGGCCGGGCGGGCGGGCACAGACCTCTTCCAGCAATGCTATGCTTAATTGGCATTGCGATTGCGTAACTGCTGGTGGTACCGTGCCAACATCAGATATAGACCAATGAGAGAGGACAACACGCCGTTAAAACCCACGGCTAACTGCGACAGCTTGCCGCCCCACAGGAATCCCGGCGGCATCCAGTGAACGGCATTGCCGAAATCGGCCAAGTGCTGCACCAGCTCGAGGAGAAGATGACGACGCTGCGTCTTAAGGGATGGCTGCTGGGGGGTGGTGGTGGGGCGCGGCGTGTTTCGCCGATGCAGCGACGCATACTCGGAGCTGTGACCGCGTGCGCGGAGTGTGCTCGCTGGCACCGTGTCAAAGCGGACTTTGCCCTGAGGCTGCCGCGCCGAGTAGGTCACCGACGCTGCTGCTGCAGCTGTTCCGCCGTCTTCCTCCTCGTCCTCGTCATCATCCTCGTCGTCGCTGCTTGCAATAGGATGTGCAGACGACGCGGCGGATGTTGAAGATGGCAGGGTAGCAGTCCTGGACAGGGGATGAAACCAGGACAGGGGATGAAACCAGGACAGTCAAAGAGCTTCTACAGAGCTTACCATGATGATGACATAGGTCGTGAATCCACTACTTTTTTTTAAATAGTTTATAAGGCCACACTTTGTTTTTTCTATGTTTCTCGTCGGCAAATTTTAACAAAAGGTATGCGGGCGGGCGGAAAAAAAACAAAAGCCAAGGAAAAAACAAGAACAATTTCTACTGAAAACTGTATACATTTTACATGTTACTATTATATGCATATGCGTGATTCATACAAGACACTGCCATGTACATGTCCCATACATGATTGCACTACACTATCACATCAGCCCTCGAATATCAGGCAAACTGCAACTATGAGAGTATAAAGTAATTAGTTTGATGAATACGAGATGGCGAAGAGAACATATATTTATCTGCTATCGCATCAACAAACGCTTTCCCACTCGTCATTTTTGGTTTTGTTACTTCAACGTTCTTGTGTCCGCTTATCAAACTCTTGTCCCCACGCTGCTCATCTTTTCCTCGCCATGCGTCTGTTGCTTGGATTTTCTGCCCACGACATCATCCCACAGACGCCAGTTGCCACAGAACTCGTCCAACTTACGGTATTCCTTGGACCCGCGAGGCTCAGGCAGTGAACGACTGAAAGCTTCGTCATGGCAGCCTTCATCGCAGAGAACGGACGGGGAGCGCTCCTTTGCTGCTGTGTGGTGCAAACGTTTATGATTTTGATTGACGCATCTAGCTGCTGCAGCATGTGCAGCACACATACATGTACGTAGTATGAACTTTTTTTTTCTTCCGAAAATTCTGAAAACCTACGCGGGCGATGACGAGAAACATAGGAAAAACAAAGTGTGGCCTAAGAAGAAAAGAGGACCGAAGAGAGATCTGCTCAAGCTGATTGCCAGTTAGGTGTAGAACGTCAGTACCATTGGTCAGTGCCGTGCAATGTTATCGCATGAGCTGATTGTAAAGTAACTGGTGGTGTTAGTGGATATTATAAAAAAGTTGATGTACATATTCAGCCATACCAATAGAGTGGTTTCACATCGTCATGTGACTAAATTTTGTGTAGAAAGTGATCATGGCATGTGGACAGTGGAACCAACATGGCCGACATCATGTGACCCATAGATGCAAGGGTTTAGTGGAGTTGGAAGTTGGAACCAACATGGCTGTCCTGTATGATCATGTGACAGATGCGAAACCACTCTACATGGGAAATTTGCCACTTCTTTCTGGTACTTTGATACCTGTATTTGCCTTTCAATCCATACGGTTAAAATTAAAATTTCACGGTTCGCGTGAGACTCGGCTGGAAGCCGGGTTTTCCGCATCCGTAGGAACGCCACCACCCTTCAAGGATCAAGGCGCAGATGCAGCTCCTAAAGCGGTGGGAGGTGAGTAGATCAGCTCACCAGCAAGTGGTCAAAGACCGAAAATCCCATTCACTGCATCCATGTTTTCCTCGTGCCAGGCCACGAGTTCCCAATTAACTGTGGGTCGCAGCACGGCTGGAAAAAATCCTTCCGCTTCCAAGCAGGACTTGAACCTGGTACCCTCTGTTTCTCAATCATATACGGTTAAAGTCAACAAATATTCAGTGCATATTTACTGTGAAAAAGGAGGACAAAATGTTACGAGTTATGACGAACTGTCCACAAACGTCACCAGATCATATACAGTCATATAATGATATGTCCCAGTACTCCTTGTCAGTTTTGTGCCATTTTGTCGCACTGGCTGACTGTATATGATCGGGTTACGTTGGTGGACAGTTAGTCATACTCGAAGTAACTCGTAACATTTTGTCTTCCGTTTTCACCATAATTAAATTGGCTCACCATCCGAGTTTAACTTCGCATATTTATTATCGGCTATTTTCGGCCTGGGAAATTTTGGCCTAAAATTTGCTGCGGCCGAAATGTTCTTTTCCAGGGTTCAATGTGACAGTGTATACAGGCGGCAGCAGTACAGGCTGAAATTTTAATGCGGCCGAAATGTGTTTTAGCCCTGGGAGGCCGAAAATTAAATGCGACAAAAATTTGTAGACTTACAGTTACATGTATATGTAAAATGTTGTACGATTATCGCAAGGCACACAACGAAAGGGAAAGCGAGGATTCGTTCAGAACTGTTTTCTTGTTACAGTCATCAGTGAATCCACGTAACAATGGATTGTTACGTGGATTCACTGATGACTGTAACACGAAAACAGTTCTGAACGAATCCTCGCTTTCCCTTTCGCTGTGTGCCTTGCGATAATCGTACAACATTTTACATATTTTACATATACATGTCGACATAATGCTTACTATGCGATTAGTTGTCTTTGTAGCTATATTAAAACTACTGTCTCCGAAACGCTTGTTCACTTACAGTAACAGTACTATAAAAAAATATTTAAAAAATAAACTAAAATAAACTATGGTCTACCAGCACATGTTCCAAAGGGTGTGCAGACTCCACTGTAGCCACTTCAAGTTTCACATAGTTCTACACCACTACTCGAAAACGGTCTCTTGGCTACAAATCCTTCCAAAAATAATAAAAATCCAAATTTTCTGGCCAGGCCCAATACCAGCACATGGTGCAGTAAAAAAAAAAGAGTAAATTATCGTGCCCGTTCCCAAAGCCGGGGAACTCACGACGGCCGCTAACAAACCCGCACATGTGCAGCACTGCTCAATGAAATCCAATCGTGTGAGCGGGAGGTGTGCCCAGCACCGGTTCACTTCCCAGTGTTCACCGGTCTAGGGCTGCGTAGTGCCCAGCCTGACATGCATTCACTGGCTTGAGCAGATTTCACTGAGCAGAACAACACTAGGTCCTCTATAGTGCGTTTCAAAAAGTATAGACCAGCGATGCAGCGAAGAACAGGGCTACTTGCAATCTCTGAAAACGGTCTATTCTTTCAAAGGCTGCTCAACGACGGTGCTGAAAAGACATCTCGACACCAAACAGTAGTCCGAAGTGAAACCACTTACCGTTCGCGTGCAATGGCCAGATTGAGCTGAGTGAGCTTGACCAGCTTGGTAATGAGCGACGTGAGCAGTGAGCCTGCCCACGCCGCAATGCTCGCCACCCACCAGAACGCAGACGGGCGCTTGAGAACCCCCACATCGCATGCCCACGCTATGTGCTCCAGTGGGTAGTAAAGCTGATCAAACACGTTCTGCACAATGCCTAGCATTCGTAGTACAGGATGACCCACCTAAAGCCAGGAGCGAGGGAGAGAGAGAGAGAGAGAGAGAGAGAGAGAGAGAGAGAGAGAGAGAGAGAGAGAGAGAGAGAGAGAGAGAGAGAGGAGAGGGAGGGACGGAGGGAGGGAGAGAGAGACATGTTGACATGTTTTTTCAACAACATGTATATGCGCTCTGACAGTCATATTCATGTTGCTACACTTGAAGGCTTGTCAACCCGATGGCAAATTCACCAGTAATAGGGAGGTTTAGGTCTACATAGTTACGTATGAAAAATTGAAAATCCGTATGGCGTACAACCCGGGGAGCCAAAGCAACTTTCATACGTAAATCTCTCTACGGAGTTCCCTAGGAAAGCGCTTTTCTATGTTCCGTCCTCCGTAGGATTTTTTGAAATACGGTTCGCAGTTTCCGGATTTATCCATGGCAAAGTTCAAGCCGTGCGAAGTTCAAAGTCCACAGCACGTGGAAAACTAGCGTACTAGAACGTGTGCATGCACAGTACGTGTGTGGTGCATGTGGTGGGCGCATGCAACCGACGCATTTCCAAGGTAACAAGCATACCAGCCAAGCATCTCGCATTTTTGGATGAACTCCCGCGATTCCGAAATTCCTGTCGACTATCCCGAAAATCACTGTGCAAGAAACAAGTCTTGATATCGTACTTGGAGCAAGTCAAGTGACTGTGTCTAGTTGTCCTTATTGATTCTGTACTGCCATAGCTGTAGTAACGATGGATCTACTAGTACTCCTTCCATGAACAGTCCCTGAAAAACTTCTGTTTTGAGTCTTCAACATTCGTAAAATGTGATCATCACCATCATCTATGATCACAAAATGTTGGTGCCATCGTATAAAAAAAGTTGAAAAGGAATTTTGGAAAAAATATGACATATCCTGAAAAACCAAGGCAAATCCCAGGATTTTGCTCTGGCGATCCAGAAAAATCACTCTCAGTACTTGGCGGGTATGCTAACAAGGCATGCTTCAGATCTTGGAGAAATCACGTGGAGTGAAACCCAACAGCGCGGATTTTCACATATTCCTACGTTATTTTCATAATTACGTAGAGCGAAACCTCCCTATAATTTACCTTGCAGCCCAACAGGCAACTTTCCTGATCTAGAGTGAGTGTTCAGGTGGTGGTGCTGATGATATGTGCATGGTCACGCAGTTCTTTTTTTTAAATTTCTTTTTTGCTACTTCTCACCTGCGAGCCAAGACCGTAGGCCTTGGTCACTTGCCACATAGCCAAGTCGTCGCCAAGACGCAGAACCACTCGACATGCCGACAGCGCTGAGCCCAGCGATTCCAGTCTCGATGCCGACTGGGTGTGCCCTAATTTATCCAGGCCACTCGCCACGAATTGAGAGAAATACGAAATCAGTCGGTAGATTTTATCCCGTCCCCGATACGTCTCCAGGAACTCGGCCACAGTTGCGCCGTCCATTTTGTTGTGCTTAGACGTTGCAGCTAACGCTTACACGACAGCAGTGAGGAAAGACAACAGCAAGTCCTGGACGATTTCTTTTCTTTCCTTCAAGCCAGGGAGGCGTATGAAGGGTGTGTACGACTCCCTGATTCAAGCACGCGTCTTGTTCATCTTCACAAAACTGTTTACACAACCAAAACTGACTGACTTTGGTGAAAACGTTCACAGCCGCGGCGGAGCCGGGCGATTCAGGAAAACATGATCGAACCAAGCCGGAATAGCTTTTCATGCAGAGGTGTTTCCCAAAAACCAAGCGTTTTCACCCAACACTTGACCATTGCGTCACGGTGACGTCACTCACGTGGTGATTGCTTCTTGCGCCACGTGACTGCGCGATCCGTGACTTCAAACGTGAGTTCAAACGTCAAACATCAGGCATCATCACCTTCCAGCCAGAAAATTTCATTGATTCTCAGTCTTTCTCGAAGAAAGTAACAGTTTGTTCGTCCACTAGTCACAGCTCTTATCGTTGAGAAATGCATCGTCAGTGCACTAGTGTCCGTGTGTGACCTTGTCACGATTGCACCATCACCAGATCACGGCATCAGTCGATCAGTATAAAAACCGTGGGAGCCGCCTAACGAATGGTATTATTTTCGTGTGCTTGGCGACAACAGTTACTACACGTTTGAGTGAAGTGAAAGTGGCCCACTAGTGCACTGGCATTGGTTCTTGGATCGAAATTTTCCCGAAAACTGTGCGCGTAGTGTATGAACTTTGAAGCCACTAACAATCGGAGCTGTTTGTTTGGAGGGCATAGTCGTGCTGTAGTCGTGAATCAAGTAAGTCACCAGCTAGCTGTGGGTACATCAGTGAGGGTGAAAAGTTGACACTGAAAACTGCATCAATCGATAGGCAATCAATTCCAACTTCGTCACCGTTGCGCCTGAGTCTGAGTCTGCACCGTGTACTACTATAATCAAGAGTACATGAACCATTACATGATTGTACTAGGTATGTGCTAGTACTCTTGCTATATTACATGACTGTAGTGTCATTATTAGTGGTGTACGATACATGTACTTCAGTTGAGGACATGTTATAATGGTCAAGTAAAGGCTTCAGCCTGTTGGAAGAAAGAAAACAAGCGTGGCCGAACCATGGCAGTCAGTAGTACTCTGATGTCATTGAGATCAATTACCATGTAGGAAGTCCAGTGATCAAGTACATGTACAAGATTGCCCTGGCCCCAGGGTCATCACCATGATCACATGCACTGGTGGAATACTAAGTCTTGAAATGCTGCAGTGCAATCATCATGCACATACGTCTTGAGATAATTATGACGGTTGGGGCGTCACACGGTAAGACCATGGCATACCTGCCAAGTACAGTCAGTATCGCCTATAGCGTTGGTGTTTGATTTTGAGCATTTTATCACTATAAGCGATATATTACTATGACCGATACTGCATGCAATGTATGCGAGTGGGGTGTCAAACGACTCGGCGCGCCGTGCACATACGCACTACATACATGTACAATGTCATGTAGCTGGCTGTAGCTCCTGACACACAAAATCAGCATTTCCTCATGATGGAGGCATATTTTGGCAACTTGTACAAGCAAAACTCACCAAACAACACTCACTGGACAAGTTCTTCACGAAGAAGTAACACCCTGTTCTCCTCTGACATCGCTTGATTTCACATCAATCACTATAACCGATGCAAAAATAGTGTAATAAACGTCTTTTGAAATATGAATTTGATCACTATAGGCGATATATTACTATAGACGATTATTACTATACGCGATAACTGTGTATACTTAGTTATGGCAAATGAAAATGAATTAGAGAAATTGATCACTATATCCGGTATATTACTATAGCCGCCAACCTTATAGGCGATACGGACTGTACTGAGAGTGCTTTTTCTGGATCGTCATGGCGAAATCCCGGGATTTGCCTTGGTTTTTCGGGATATGTCATCTTTTTACCTAAAAATCCTTTTTCAACTTTTGATGGCACGAACATTTCGATAATAGATGATTGATGGTGATCATCGGATCACACTTACACATGTTCAATACTCAAAAACGGAGGTTTTCAGAGACTGCTCATGGAAGGAGCACTAGTAGATCCACTGGTACTGCAGGCTATGGCGGTCCGGGATCAATAAGGACAATTACTGGCCTGTGACAAGTCATTTGAAGTGTTCCAAGTACAATATCAAGCTTGTTTCTTGTACAGTGAATTTTCGGGATAATCGACAGGAATTTCGGGATCGCGGGAGTTCATCCAAAATTGCGGGATACTCCCGAAAAAATCTGGGTACTTGGCAGGTATGCCATGGTCGTACATGTACCTCATTTCGTCCAGGATGGTCCGCCCATTTCATCCAAAAAAGCAATAAAAGAGGGCTAAAACGCACCCTGTTGGCCGAAAAGTCCGATTTTCACCTGGATACCCCCCCCCCCCCCACACACACACACATCAAGATTCATATCACTCCCCACTGCCCTGTGATGTCCCTGGATGGTGCGACTGATGTGACTTGTCTCTTGTCTTGTCCTCCAAATCACAGCCATCACACAGACGAAGACAATGAGTAACGTCACGGCCAGTGAGGGCATTGTCGTCCTGCCCAATGACCCGGATTACCTGGGCCTGTGTGCTATCATCATCGTGGCCATTCAGACGATATGCTTCATCATTGCCGCCACGCTCAAGTTTGACAAGCTCAACGATCTTGTGGGCGGCTCAAATTTTGTGATCCTGGCATGGCTCACGTTCGCATTGGCACAGGTGAGTGTATAGTGATCCGCTTGCTGTATTCAAATTCGTTATCCACCAGGCGCTCAAAGCCGACCAACACGATACTTCTCTTCTCTTTTCTTCAAACTCACCAGCAAGGAATTTTGACACTGATAGTTCCTCTCGACAGCTGTTTCGACCATTGTGGTTGGAGCAACGTCTCTTTTAAAACACTCTGCACTGTAACTTTAAGCTGCGGTGCCGACGCCTACAGTCCATTCATTGGAAACTGGCACCCTAACTTTGTGGTGTCTCCCGCACATAGTTATAGATATCGTGGAAACAACAGTACATCCTGCATTGTGTGACCCGTGCAATTGCTCCTGGCCACATTTGAGGCCAGAAAAGTCCAAGAACAGGGAAATAGAAATTCAGCCAGGTTTTACAAAATTAGGACAGGTATGCCATGGCAAAATGTATGGAGAAGCAGATCCAAAACCCAGATTCTTGAGATTTAAAGTGGGTGTTTGATCCTCAATTCGGCCCAAATCCGACTTTCAAAAGCCAGCGGGACAGTTTCCGATGAATGGACTGTAACGGTATGCAAACAGTATGTGTGTGTAGATTACAGTCCGTGCGCCAGATTCAAAATATCGCACTCTATCCGTGTTTTTTATTTTCCAGAGTCAGTGGACTTGGAACTTTTTGAGCAATTTCTTGAGAATTGTTAGTTTCTAGTCATTGCAAGGTGGGCCTTACAAGGCCCTTTTTCGTTCGAGTTCAGACCTGACACGCCGTCCATCGCCGGATAAGGCAAACTTCTATCCTCAGTTTCGAACGTTTTCTCGCGGGGTGCTTCTGTCCCATGCAGCATCACGTCTTCTCCGACTGTCGAAATTTGAATTTTTCTTTACGCAGGAATTTAGCTTAGTGCCGTCAAGTATTCCAGGCACGCGTAGTAACACCCACTACAACATCCAGAAGAACAAGCCTTAGTCTTTTAGTATGTGGTCTCTCGCCGGTGTCCAAGACCAAATAACACCATAACGACCAATTTTCTAACCTCTGTTTTTCTCGCTATTTACATGTATATGGAGGACAGCTGGAAACATGTAGCACTCACAATGAACACATCAGGACGGTGTAATAATGCCACTCAGCTACACCCTGGGCGTGTATGCATTCCTGTCTGCGAGTTATGCCAAGCAGCTCGTCTGGACACCAGTGCACACATCCAACAAATGCAGAATATTGGAATATTTTGGTAAAATAGTGAACGGCAAAAGACAAAAACCCAAATTGCAGCCACCTACAGACTAATAAAGTAATATCCACATACGCTGGCTGTGTAAAGGAGTGTCAATGAGAATCTTCATTGCGTTACTACAGAAGTGTATGAAACGGAACGTAGCGGACAAGCTCAAAAGTGCACGCCGAGCCAATATAGGCGGCATTGCAGCACATGTAAGACAGTTATGGACAAACAGGCACAGATGAAGTGTTCCCACTATGAAACGGTCTCAGCAGTTCCAAGGAGTAAGAACATGACAATAGCATAGAATGATGTCTTTTGCAAGAAGTGCTACGAGGCACAGCTAGAATAGATAATAGTTGACAGCAGTGCAAGCATTCACAACAAAGCTATTACAGCTGATCGCTTGTCACACTCAGATCTGCGATAATCCTCTGGCTGAGCTAACAGCAGTACTGGGAGAACACATGGATGTTTGCACACTAGCACAAAGAAGCGAGTCATTCCCCTTCTGCGGAAAGGCTGCAATACCCAAGGTCCTCTTCGTGCTGTTCTCACACAATGCCAAGACGCGTTAATACCCAAGGTCCTCTTCGTGCTGTTCTCACACAATGCCAAGACGCGTTGGAGCACGATCTACCTGAGAAGACACACAGATCGCACAAGATAAGGCAGCATTTTAACGACAGTAGGAATAATGCATGAAACACAGAAGGTAATTCAATGGAAAAAGTGCTCCGCTCTTTATATACTACACTTTTCCAATGTTATACAGATGATACACTGAACTTCATGGAAGTGGATTTGGTTGTCCCTATTAGTATAATTGCAGTGGGTGCTGCTTCACTTGAACCATATTTTGGTTCCAGTGAAGCAGCACTCACTGCAATAATTTGCAGAAAAATTTCTCAATCGCATCGTCGCGCATCGCGTCGCAGAAGTGATATCATGCATCGCGCTTTAGAATGTTGGCATGGCTGGGCATCACTGCCGGTAGTTCTGCCAAGAGGACGTAACCCGGATTATTAACCCCTGGTGGATCGGTTACACACAGAAACGCAGCAGGTTCGAGGCAGTGTCTGCATGCGATACACCATGCACACAAACCTTCTTAAGGCTCTTATGAGAAAAAGCGCGCTTTCAATCTGAAAACCGCAGCAGATCGTTGCGCACTGCCCCAGCCGGTACCCCAGTTTGTCGCTACGTAATGTGGGCAGCAAGCCCCTTCAGACCTCTCGTGCAAAGTTGCATGCTCTTGGGGCTATGGACTCTTGGTTCAGCCACCAAAATATGAATGCAGTGGAGCTGCGTCAGCGGCGTACATGAAACGAGACAGCATTCGGTTCGTTTTAATCGATAATATCGACAGAGAATATTATTACAATGACACCAAGAGAAGCTTTGATGGCAATTAAGGCCAGCATGTCCATCCGCAGCCATGCAGCAGCAGCAACGAGGGTACATCTCAAGAGAATACAACTACAAGTCCATACCCACTAAAATGTCATGCAAATTTTACAATATACAGAGTGTCAAGACATACAAATTTCGCACTTTCGGATTCCTCAACAGTACCATCCTAAGCACAGGCACACTAAACGGGAAGAAAACACATTTATTTATGACATCGTATTCCTTTGGATGCTTCTTTCTTCTTGTTGTGCTATTTTGAACAAGGCAACACTGCTGCTCGTAAAAATACTAAAAAACAATTTTGAGATTCCACTTAGTGCCATCGGTTATTCCAGGCAGGAATGCTCAAACCATTATCATCTCGCTACACAACAATATGTACTTACTAAGATCCGCCATGAGAGCTTGGTGTCCGCAGCTCTTGGAAAGCTCAGCTCGTCTACTTCTCGATGCCAGTCGGCGAAACCAGCAAATCGTGGAGAGCAGTTTCTTCCATAAATAAAGCCGAAGATGGCGTTTGCGATTCAAATTTTCTACTCGGCGTCAAAGCACAACATTGAACTCATCATCTTCCATTGCTGCAAAGGCAAAGGAGCGAAGACAGGCCGCGAGAAAGGCCAAAACAATTGCCAAATTTCTCCCCCAACTGCCATTGTCGTCATCATCTTGGCAACACAGTTTTGTGCAGACTTTTTCCCGCGGGATCGGACCCAGGAAAATGAAAACGGCCCACTCAGTGGCCTGGCGCACGGACTGGATTACTCGTGACATGGGGATGTTGAGTTTTTCATGGCGCAGGCTGTTGGTACACTTTGCGGATCGCAGCTGGGAGGATGTGTCGAGCAGTGCTACATATACTCCTCAATACAACAAACTGCTATGTATCATTCATTCAATGTATTTTGTAGCCCAGGAAACAAATTAAAACAATTGTGGACAATTAGCACTCGTTTAATTGACGGTGTTACTGAGATATGTTACCTCAATTCTCATAAGATACCGGCTTTTTGTCGTGCTGCTTGTTTTTATCCAGACGTATCACGCCAGGCAGATTCTCGTGTCCATCTGTGTTACCGTTTGGGGCCTGCGCCTCTCGCTGTTTCTCTTCTACCGTATTCTGAAGACGGGCGAGGACTGGCGATTCAATGACTTGCGTGTCAATCCCGCCAAGCTATCCGTGTTTTGGATATTGCAGGTATGCGTGTGTGTGTGTGGGGGGGGGGGGTATATATGATTATTTGTGTTGGGCTTCTGTGTGCACCTTTGTCCCACTGTCAGAAGCCCAGAAACTAATCTTACAAGAACAGCACCGCTCAATGAAATCCAGTCGAGTCACTCAAATACGCGCCGGACGTTGTGCAGCACTACAAGACCTGCGAACACGCTGCGAAATGGTGCGATGCGTCAACTCGAGCGACTGGACTTCATTGAGCAGCACTGACAGTACATCTGTGATGTTTTCTGATGATGTTGACTGCAGGCAATCTGGGTATTTGGTACCGGCTTGCCTGTGTACTTGGTCCGACTTATTAAAATGTGCGTTTCGCTTCGAACGTCAGCCAAACAAATTCAAATAATCTCAGGACGGAACAAACTTTCCAGCTACCTAACACTATCCTTCAGTTGTCGATTTGTGATGTTGAAGAAGAAATGACTCCAACCCCAAAGGAGGCAGCGCCTCAGGATCCTAGTCGACTCGAGAATTTTGCGTGCAAATTTTGTCGTCAGAGGACTCCTGTTGCTTCTTGCGCAACACAGAGAAGGCCTGGTGCTGAAATCAAAACCCCACTGCGATGGGGAATTGTCACGGAGTACCAGGAACTCCTGGGCGATCGTTCTTGAGTGCTTCCTGGCGGATTGAAATCGCTGCAGTCGCTGTTTCCTTGGAAGAATCAAGTAAGTTCAGCAAACGCGTCATCCAGAAACTCGTGCAGAAAGCACCTGCATCGCTCCGTCCAGTTTGTGCTGATCTCTCTCGCATTCGTTCACGATGTGGCGGCCGACGAATCAAGATCACAGAAGAGATCGTCGAGAAGTTGATCGATGTAAACAACCGCCCTTGAGGTCGACTTTCAGGCGACAACCTGGCTGGAAAACTGAAGCGCAGAAAGGGTGAATACGGTGCGTGAATGGTGCGGAGTCCTCGCCGACTCCTCGGAGCCGCGATCGCGATCGATGCGTATCGATGCGTCACAAGATCGCCAGTCTCCGAGTCCGGGGCCAGTGGATTCGTGAAACAGGCAGGGGAGAGCACGCATGGTCTGATGCAGCTGACTGTGTGACAGTCATGACTCTCAGTCAGTACTACGTTGTAGTACTAGTTCTACGCGCGCGGCACGGCACACGGTGATGAGAAGTGATTTTTTTATGCGTGGTGGTTTACTTGTTCGCCTCATTTGAAAGTCTCGTTGGAGCGTCAGGTGAAAACACCTACAGCCACCATGCTGGCAGTCGTACTGCACGAGGAGGAGGCGAAGTCGACCGTCTAAATCGTGCCTATGGAGTGAAAAAATCAAGGAAGCGCAGTGTAGCTTGGAGAAGATGAAAAAAATGTCGACGTTTTGCAGGTTGACGCACTTGAAGAAGCGCCCTGAGACACCAGCAGAGATGGAAACTAGAAGGTCAGGCCAAGAAACGACACAGTAGTTATCCATCTATCGTCTCTTGGTCGATTTTTTAGTACAGGTGCTCCTTTGGACATAGGCTTGAGTTTTGAAGCGAAGCGCACATTTTAATAAGTCGGACCAAGTATATTGTCAACTCACCTCGCACTAATCAAGGTAGGATTGTATTTGTTGGAGTTTGGTGTTCTTTGTGCAACAATCAGCTTGTTGTTTTACTGGTGCTGCTGTTGCTGCAGCTGCTGGTGCCGCAGCTGTTGCTGCGGGACGTATGTTTATGCATATTTACATATGTGCCGCTGTGTGTGTGGGGGGGGGGGGGGGAGGGGTTGGTGAGAGTGTATGTGGGTGGGCGTGTGTGTGTGTGTGTGTGCGTTTTATGCCTGGATTCTGCCCGCCCTACCACGCAGCACTGCAGCTCTGAGCCAACTCACAAGACGTACTTGTCGTCCTCCTTGTCTTGCTAGGTTCACAAGACCTCCAGCCTCTAGATTACGTGGGACTGGCAGTGTTCGTTGTCGGTTTTCTCTCAGAGGTCATCGCTGACCAGCAAAAGAATAGCTTCCGCAACAACACGGCCAACAAGGGAAAACCGTGCACCGCCGGACTCTGGTCTTGGTCTCGGCATCCAAACTATTTCGGTGAGTAGCAGTTTGGTTGTGAGAGTTACCACCTCACCCTCGCCGTTAGGCGCTGCATCTGCCACCCTGGTATCACAGGCATAGTGGTGGCCTGGCACTTGTGAAACTTCCTAAGCTGGTTGTGTTTCTCCATACATTAGTATAGCCGGATGTGGAAACTTTAGTCAGGCTTGACATGATGATAAAGTTTGACGGGCTACAACACTTGGTCTTGTTGGTTACTCTCCTATCCCTTGTAAGGCTTTGACCTGGTATGGGCTAGAACTGTGTTGTTGGCAATGTGGCGCTACAGAGTACAGTTGGAAAGTTGCACTGTAGAACGTCTGTAAAGTCTTTCTCTAGAACGTACACAAAGACAGAGAACTCATCGTCATCCTCTAGCAATGTCTTTATGTACAGCCGGTGCGCATGGAGATGTGCGTATTTTCTAATCTTGTGACAGACAGAGACAGTGTGTTGGTGTGTGTGTGTGTGTGTGTGTGTGTGTGTGTTTGTGTGTGTTTGTGTTTGTCTGTGTGTGGGCATGTGTGTGTGTGTGTATGTGTGTCTTTATGTGTGTGTGTATATATGTGTGCATGTATCTGTGTGTGTGCGTGCCTGTGTACTCGCACATGAATATGCATGTGCGTGTGTGCATATTCTCCTTTCAGGCGAGATCACGCTATGGTGGGGGATATTCATGATGTGTGCTTCGGCGTTTGAAGGCTGGCACTGGGCATCCGTTGAGAGTCCCGTTGTCATTTCCATCTTACTCCTCTTTGTCAGTGGTATCCCCATGCTGGAACAGAATGCTGCAAAACGCTATGCAGAGTAAGTCGTATGAGACTCGTATTGCCTGCGCGCAGGTGTACGTCACAAATTTGGGGGGGGGGGGAAATCAATGCATTCTTGGGCGGGCAAAGGCGACGACGGAGAGAAGATGATCACTGCTCTCACGGCGTCGAGCTCATTGAAACAGGAGGTCTCAACACTTCTTGCCCCCATGGTCAGAATTGTCTATGGGCTACCTTTGCCCATGCTGGGGGGGGGGGGGGGGGGGTGTTGTCAATAGAGATTATGCAATAACATCATCAGCTGAGATATTTTGTCAAAGTCGCGGTATAGCGATGCACTAGCGAATCACGCTGCATACATAGCGTCCCTAAGCAGTTCCGCTGACTCACACTGTACGGGTATACACTGGTGCCCTTAGGCGACTTTGCTGACTCGTCACCATGACACCATTGATGATCATTCACATCAAACTCTTTAGACATTTGGGTCATCTTTCCGACATCTCTTTTGAAAGTATGTTCCTTTTTCGGGGGGTGTGGGTGGGGTGGGTGGCCAGTTTCAGGCAAGAGAGACAGAGGCAGTGGACAGCATAGAACATGTGTTGTTGCCGTGTTCTTATTGCATGGCCTGTTCTTATTTCCAGAGGTCACCATTGTCTATTTGCTGTGTGTGTGCTGGTGTGTGTGTGTATGCATATGTGCTCTCATGTGTGCATGGTGTGTGCATGTGTGTATGCATGCATGTGCATGTCACACAGGGACCCGTCATTCTGGGAGTACCGTCGCAGCACCAGCCCTGTCATACCTATGCCTGCCAGTGTGTATGCCTTGCTACCCAAACCAATGCAGTTCCTGTGCTGCTGCGAGTGTCCATGTTATCGTGCACCACCAGATGTGGAGAAGGAGCCCATCACACCATGAGAAGAAAGCACACCAAGTATATGGAATCGATCTATGATAGTCATTGATAGATAGACTCAGACTCGCCGTCTTTTTTTATTCAACCACCACACCACAGCTGCGCTCTCCAGCCGACCTCGACACTTTGCCACAGCACGCCATCAGCAAGCAGTTGTGGTGCAGTTATGCAGTTGTGGTGTGGTGTGGTGTGGTGGTTGACGAAAAATTCGCCCAGGGCCAAATGCTGCTGCTTACCCCTCTTCCAGACTCATTCTGAACACGATACTAGTTGCTTGGTTAAATGCCGTGCAAGCTTAGCTGCTCGTTCAGTATCCACTGCTGTGTCCAAGGTCCTGCGGAAATCAGAGCGTCCCGTCCAGGTGCGTTTGAAATCCGCCGTTAGATAGTCGAGCTTCTCCTAATACTACAACTGCTACTGCATGGCTGTTCAGTGGATACATGGCTAAATGTTTGTCCATGAGCTTTCAGTATTTCAGCAGCCATGTTTCTAGTATCATAGATTGGATGCGGCTGGCATGGGGTTACCCCGGTCGAAGCGTGTGGCATGTTTCTCGTGTTCTATTATCAAAGTAATCAAACACACTTATTTACAAAATACACATAGACGTGGACCCCGCACCACTGAGCTCGCCTACACACCCACTCTAGATCTTGCCACTGTTGCTATGCAAAGGCTGGCGCCACTCTCTGGCATTACATAGTGCCTGATATTCGCTCGCCCTCTGAAGGTTTATCAGTGAAGTTCCACTGTACAAGACCATTTTTATACTGCTTCATCATTATTCTACTAGTCCATGGCGTGCCTGATCAGCATGTCAAGAGTATTTCCTGCAACGTCCACTCAGCATTTATTTGATGCATTCGCATATCTGTCCTATTGCTTTGAGTTTGAGCATGAACGAACATAATATTTAGGCGGAACCTCGTGAAAACCCGAACAAGACTGTGTAATTAGTACTATAATGTAATTACCAATTCAATTGCTGTTGTCTTTAAATTTGTTGAGCAGTGCCATTGCACTGGCTGGGGTTGTAGTTGTACTCCAGCCATTTTATTCCTTTTCTGCTCTCTTTTCTTAGTACATGTAGCATAGGTTTTTATTTATTTTTTAAGTATCCACAGATTGAGTATTTTTTTAAGTGTTCATTTATCTTCAATGCGGCTGTCAGTTGTCTTTTTCGGTTTTTATAATTCTACAGGATCATGGCAGTTTGCCACCCTACACAAGGAGCTAGAGCATCTCCAATGATGTAGGAGCAGCAAGTGTTCTGTAGCAGTCAGGGAGTCGTAAAATACCGGTATTTTACGACTCCCTGGTAGCAGTACATGCTTGTACTGTATTTCTCCGGTCGCACCTTTTTACACCAGTTGAGTATGACTTCCTACTTATGTCAATGTACGACAATTTGGTTCAGATCTGAAAATGGGTTGCGACTTATAATCGGGGAAACACGGTGGTGACGGTACTGTCAATTTCGCTATTTTCGTGACCATCACACATCACTTCACGAATATTTAATATTATAGCGCCGCAAACTGTCACATACCCGCCGAACAAGCCTACGCATGTGTGACCGAACACGGTACACGGAAGCATGTACATGCAGTTGTACGTGATGGCTGTAGTATTCATGCTTGAGACCGTTAAGCCTGCAGAGTAAGTTGTGATTATGGCTCACCATGCGAGTTTAAAATGACAGTAATCAACAATGTGGCATGCAACTAACAAAATCCGAGCTCAAGCAAGGATCAAGAGCGGCGAAAACAGTCATTTCATCACCGCACTTCACTATCATAGCAGCTCACTCCGATCTCACTGATGGATTGCCAAGGAAAAACCAGTAAACTAATGCAGTACTGGTCCAGCAGGGCAGCCACATTGCTCTCAAGATTCACCAAGGACCGTTGACTCAAGGGAACTCCTCAAAAAAGAAAAAGAAAAACCTATTAGTGAATTTCATTCGAATGCTGCCTTGCATAACTGCATGAATATGCTGGAATAGAGAGGTGATGGGAGTGGGATCTCAATCAGGTTACAAGATAGACTCTAGGCTGCAGTTGATGACAAGCACAGCAGTAAACTGAATGACAGGAAATACCCTTACACAGGAATATCTGAAAGGACTGCTTTCTGAGTTCCTCCTATTGGAGCTTTACCATCAGAATCATAAAGCACACACACACAATACACGCCAAGCGAGGCTCTGGGCAGCAGCTGAAAATTCTGTGTGCACACTGACTGCACAATGGGTCTGAACCAAACTGCAGTTCCAGCTCGCTGCACACACACACACACACACACACACACACACACACACACAGGCTGTCCGGATAACCTATCGTGTGAGGTTGGTGAATGCGAAGCACGCATCACCATCAGTGGCATCGCCATCACTTCATGATACTGCACCGTGTCCAGTCCACGTCGTGATATCAAACCCATGACATCACTACAGATTGATCATGAGTCATCGCCGTGGTATGACATCCCGCGGTAATATCATCAGCTAGATCACGACTCGTTACATCATGGAGACCATGCCGCGGACCGGTGGCTGCCATGTCTGGCTAATGAGTAACGGGTGGCAGCAGATCACACAGAGCAAGACCATCATACCACATACTACATAGCACAGTGTATCAGGCTGAAGCCGATGGCGATGTCAGCGTGAAGTCCTGCTTCAGTATCGTGTTCATGCCTTCAAACAGGAAATAGCCGTTGATGTGTTTACGCTCCGCCAGAACGCTGGGCAGCCAGAAGATGTCATCCGGCCACATGCCGTCGTAGGGGACTTCAGCCAGCGGAAACCACTGAGGTCGCATCTCTGATGAGCACAACATAGGCATAAAGACACGCACACACAAGTTTTGGAATCAAAATTGGCAAAAATAGGACAAAAATATGGCTGTTTCCACCCGGGATCGAACCGGGGACCTTTCGCGTGTTAACGAACGTGATAACCGCTATACTATGGAAAAATGACTGACATAATATAAATGACACCTTTGACAATTCTTTGCAGGATCTTGTGAGATACGTTACAAAAAGAAGAAAAAAATTAACACTGGCAGCGGTGGGATTCGAACCCACGCCTCCGGAGAGACTGGAGCCTTAATCCAGCGCCTTAGACCACTCGGCCACGCTACCTGCACATTTCACACATATGCAAGAACTAATGTAGTAATGAAATTAACTCCAGTCGCACACATTTCCGGGTGCAAATTGGTATGTGCTTGCAAAATGCTACCAAAAAATGAATTGTAGTGCTGTGCCAGGCTCGAGGCTGCCATAAATCGGTAGAAGTTGGTAGAGGTACAGTACTTCTGTACTTGTGTGCCCATGAGAGCTGGTTTCCATCAAATAAAATAATATCGTACATCGTACAGTGAGAATCGACGTTCTACCGAAATGGGTAAATCCTCGATCGTAAAACATCTACCGTCTTTTCTTTTCCCAACATCCGCTCTACTCTACTCTACTCTACTCTACTCTACTCTACTCTGCTAAGAAGACTAAAACAAACGCAGCCAAAGATACAATCATAGTTATTTTGGCAAAAAAAAAGAATGGGCTGTTTCCACCCGGGATCGAACCGGGGACCTTTCGCGTGTTAGGCGAACGTGATAACCGCTACACTATGGAAACATTGCTGATGTGTGGACACTTTCGACCGGTGCTTCCAAGCTATTAGGGAGGTTTAGTCCCACGTAATCCGTGGGTACTTTACGTGTGTGTACCACGTGATACTCAGTGACCCAAGTACAGACGTTTTCTGATTCACGACATACCGTGTATGGAGGCTCACCCACGTTCCGCCAGAACGTGGGTGAAAATCAGAATGGAGCGCATTTTGCGAGCTGTGAGGGTGCTCAGCTGAAGAAATTTCCGAAGCACGAAATCAAAATATTCGATGAGCTTCTTAGGCCCGGGTAGCTTCGTCTTTGGCCAGGTTTGGTGGGCCTTTCGCTTCATGCTTTTGTTTCTTCCGTGTGACTAAGGGCCGATTCCCACTACGGTACCGTGAGTGCCGTGCCGTGAGTACCCATGGTGATTTGCTCACGTGAGGGGCAGTTTTGGCGCGAGTTCATTCCGTGGCTCCTGCCGTACCGCGCCGTGGACATTCCGGTGCCGAGGGTCTCTGGGGGGTGGAAATGGCATGCCGTGGTATTCCGTGAGGTCGAATGCAGTGAGTAGTAGGTATTTTACTACTCCCTGAAAGGAAGTTTTTTCTTTCTTTTGTATTTGTGGTACGAAGTTTTTTCTTGGCTTTTGGCTTTTCGATTGGTTGATTCTTGAGCTTTGTCCAGTCATCTCCCCCGCTATTTTCCCTCAGGACCAAAGTCAGAAATTGATAAAAATGGTGATCCGGCCTGCCGACGGAATGCACGGAATGATTGGGCGCAGGTGTAAATCACTCTCAGCTTCAAGCTCGTACCGTGGGGTACACGTGACCTACCCAAATCGTCGGCACGGCACTCACGGTACCGTAGTGGGAATCGGCCCTAAACATAACATTGCAACGTGGATGCCCTTCATTCACTTTACGTGTATCACCCACGTACGCGTTTCCGTTACGTGGGAACTAAACCTATTGTGAACTCTTTGCGCAAAAATGAAAAAGCATGACTGGCAGCGGTGGGATTCGAACCCACGCCTCCGGAGAGACTGGAGCCTTAATCCAGCGCCTTAGACCACTCGGCCACGCTACCTGCACATTCCACATGAATGCCAAGGAGTCATCCATTGAGTCATGTTTGATTACGCACAATCCCGATCTTTCAAGACAATGTTACGAAGCACGCACCGTAGTGAAGGTCGAAATTAGAACACTTTCGTTGACATTACGTTAGTGGTGAAGATACCGATTGTTCCAGAGAACTGCTGGATTGCGGTGAGAGGGAAGATTATGTGCTTTACGGGATTGATCTACATTGTACTGCACATAGCACACTGAGCTGTGCCATATGTAGGGTATTGCATGGGCAACCACGGTTGGTTGAACGTTTCTCAAAAAAGGGGTACTATTTACCGGTGCTACTACTACAATGGCAGTTCGTACACGACCGATCGCAGGTTTATCCACCACAGGTCAAGGATACGGCTGATGATACGCATACAATGCGCATTGTATCATAAAACTAATGAAGTGAGCAGGAAAATTCTGTCAGGAGAGCACTGATAAAGGAGTTGCATACTTATTGTGTGCTCTTGGTATCAGCTGTTTGTGGCTTGTGGATCAAAATTGCCAAAAAAAACATGGCTGTTTCCACCCGGGATCGAACCGGGGACCTTTCGCGTGTTAGGCGAACGTGATAACCGCTACACTATGGAAACTTGACTGACATAGGAATACCTTGTTGGACAGTTATTTTGTCATCTTTGCAGGATCCGTTTACAAAAAAAACACAAAAAAACTTAACCACTGGCAGCGGTGGGATTCGAACCCACGCCTCCGGAGAGACTGGAGCCTTAATCCAGCGCCTTAGACCACTCGGCCACGCTACCTGCACGTTTCACACATATGCCAGGGGATCATCCATTGAGTACTGTGCGAGCGTAAACCGAGAATCCATTGCAACCTGGAATCCTTCACGGCATTCGCAGTGGGTGTGAAATAGCAAAAGTACGGTATAGCAGGAAATTTTCGGACAAAGTCAAATTTCGACCTTTCGTACGGATTATATTTTCGTACAGTGCTGCATGCTAAATGCACGTGTTCGCATGCGGTACGCATGTATAGTGCACATAACTTCACAGGAACAAATTTTAGTACGGAATTAATTTTAGTACAAAAGAGGCCGTGTACGAAATCGTGTGAAAATAAATTCCTGCTATACAGTAATCCGGCGCGAAACGTATAACTAGGGGTGAAGCAATTATACCGAATATTTGAGTGCTCGGAAAAATGTGGGCACAAGTTACGCGATCGAGTCCACCAACCAAATCAGATTTTGAACAGTCAGACGTGCACAATCTAGCATCACTTGTGCCCACATTTTTCCATGTTACAATTTTTCCCTTGGCTCACCATCTGAGTTCTTAATTCGAGGACTCGCTCGGTTTAAAAAAAATCATACTCGGAATTATATCAGAGCAGTTTCAGAGCAGCAGTCAGTAGATATTATGGTGCAGACTACTGGTACGTGGTGAATATTTGTTCACGAGTAGAGAGAGCCCAAATGACCCACCAGCCAATATACCCGAGAAAAAGACTGCCAATCGGTCCAATCAGGGTTGTATCACGTGATTTTTAATGCCCTTGATGTGCAATTTTTAGGAAGTGAAGAATACTCAAATATATTGTAAACTACCATCTACCGTCTTTTCTTTTTCCAACATCCGCTCTACTCTACTCTACTCTACTCTACCAAGAAGACAAAAACAAACGCAGCCAAAGCCTCGTATCAAGGTCGATACGTAGTCATTTCAATGGCAAAAAAAGATCGGCTGTTTCCACCCGGGATCGAACCGGGGACCTTTCGCGTGTTAGGCGAACGTGATAACCGCTACACTATGGAAACATTGCTGATGTGTGAACACTTTCGACCGGTTCTTGTAAGCTATTGTGAACTCTTTGCGCAAAAATGAAAAAAACAACACTGGCAGCGGTGGGATTCGAACCCACGCCTCCGGAGAGACTGGAGCCTTAATCCAGCGGCTTAGACCACTCGGCCACGCTACCTGCACATTTTACATGTATATGCCAGGGGATCATGCATAGGGCATGTGCACAACACAGTCTTTCGAGAAAAGGTGACAAAGCATGCTCTGTACGCGCAGTGAAGGTCGAAATCAGAACACTTTCATTAATAGTACCCAATGCTGTAGACAGCAAGCTGTTTCGGCCATATACTGATATAGGCCTCATCAGGACAACTACGAGCTCTAAAAGTAAGCCGAGCTACCGGCCATGGTGCAAAGGTGGCGCCCTAGACATTTTAAGATAACTCGTTGCTCTGGCGCCAGAGTGCTCTAAATACACTTTCGTTAATACAGTCGTCCCTCTCTAATCCAGCACTTGTTTATCCAGCACCCTTGCAAACCAGCACACTTTCTGGCAAAACGGATTTTTTCAGTTCATTTTCTACGCTTTAATCCGGCACTTGAATTCCGCCTCCAGCAGCGATTTTCTGCAACAAATCACTCAAACTGTACATAATTCGATTTTCTAATCCAGCAGTTGTACATCGCATACCGTCAGGGAGCATTGTAACATACACAACACATGTAACATACAGTTGGGAATATTCTATGCCAGTGCATAGGATATTATGTTGAAAACATGCATTCCACAAAGTACTGTGATTGACACAGAAAATCCCTACGTTTTGACGTACAACACAAACATGTATGTTAACAGGTGGGCCGGGTTGGAGGGCAGGATTTGATAATCCAGCACCCTTGTTTATCCAGCAGAAAATGCCGTTGCAGAAGGTGCCGGATTAGAGAGGGACGACTGCATAACTGTAGCGGTGTGTGTTCAGACTCTGTTGATACGGCTGAAAGATAATCTGGAACTGTTGGATTGCGGTGAGCCGAGGGAAGATCATTTTCGTGTGCCTTTTCGGATCGAGTCTAGATAGGACTGGGCATGGAACTGTGCCAGATGAAGCAGGGAGTAGTAAAATACTGGTATTTTACTACTGGTATTTTACTACTACCTGATAAGTAGGGTATTTCGTGGGCAACCACAGTCAAAGGGGCATACATTATGCGCCAATCCCTTGCAATTGGTGACAACGATAAACAAAAAGTAAGGATAATGTTTTTCCGCAACAGCTTCAAAATTATGTCGGCGAACAGGGTACAAGTAGAACTATTCTT